ACAAAGACCAAAGGACAGGGACTAAAGGACAAAGACCAAAGGACAGGGACTAAAGGACAAAGACCAAAGGACAGGGACTAAAGGACAAAGACCAAAGGATAGGGACTAAAGGTACAAAGACCAAGACAGGGACTAAAGGACAAAGACCAAGGACAGGGACTAAAGGACAAAGACCAAAGGACAGGGACTAAAGGACAAAGACCAAAACAGGGGTAACCTGAGTACCACGGCTGAATCATCTCCCAGCGGTCTGGACCTTTCTGGACCCTGTGTTGTTGCCCCTGTTAGTCATAACATATACCGCAGCCAAATCTTGACATATTTTCGTCATCTGAAGTAGCCACCCCAAAACAATGGCTCGAGCATTGCTTTCCAGAGGATTTTAAAACTTTAAGACATTTTGTGTGACGTCCGTTCAAAGAATTTTCAACACCAAGAAGATTACAAGCGTCTAACCATGTAACATCCTATTAGCACATTCGCTAATTCGTCAAAACGAAAATGGACAAACCCAAGACGATGCATACCGTCAAACCTATTGTTTGTTCCACACTCGACAAGGCAGCACACGCTAATGCCATGGCAGCTAGACTAAGCTGTTTGTTGTGCACTTGTTTGTGTTTCAAAGGCCCGTTCCTTAACCATTACAGTCAGGCCGCCGCTCCCTGGATGATAGTCCAATGGAGAACCATTGCCGCGAGCTCTTTTGAATCTAAAAAATCAGTGTTCTATATTATTTTGATAAAATGGAAGACATCAAGTTTTGGGCAGAGACTTCGATGGAAAATAATATCGCAGGAAATAAGAGAGCTAATGACACCAAATTTACAGAGTGTTAGTCTATAGGTGAAAATATTTGGATCAAAGTTTGAGGTTCCTAGGTCATGACCTTTGCGCCAAATAATGTCAAACAAGGTCACATTCCAAGTTGGTCTCCAAATTGTCTCCAAAACCTAGACACCTGTTCTAAGCGAAAAAGAACAAGCTAATTTAAGGTCAGTGACCTTGTCTGACCTTTCGAAAGTAATGGGACCAAAATCATGCAAGACTGCTTTGAGTTTTGCACTTGAATAAGCGAAATCCTCCGACAAAAATTACACAAGGCAGTTCGTTGCGAAAAACGAAATGTTAACCTGGACCGTTTGGGTAAGTGATCTATTCTGACCTTTAAGAAGTTTGTGGAAGACGTCTTTTGCGGTTCCTGTCCTCAATAAATCCAAAATGAGCACCAGAAACTACCTCGTACAGACCTTACCGACCCTACAAGGTACATCTGATTTTTCAATGCTAAACGATCCTCTATTCAATTGTCTATAGTTACGCAAAATTTGGCGCGGCTACGCCGCGGCGTTCAGAAACCATTCCGGAAAAACCCTCGTGGTGGTCAAGTTGACCTCCACCCGAGCGTGCGTTAAAAATGCCGTGGCGTGTTGCCTAGTATTGAGCTGCCTTGTTCCGTGGCAGAATAATAATTGCAGTCTTGTTGCAATTAGTGAAACTTGACATAATGCAAAGGAATGGGAGAACGTTAGATATTAACACAACACCAGATCAGAGACAATAAGCATCACGTAATTAGAAACATGCAGCATGCAACACAAACACAAAATACGGTATGAATGCATAGCCCTAAAAGTGACTAGCTCAGCCAGATGTACTAAATTGAACATGACGTCGTAGTTGTAGTTTGCTTTGTTATTTTTACCTGTGAAGCATTTATTAAAATCCTCGTTAATGTTGATACAATTTTTAGCTCCCATTTTTAATGCTGTGCTTGTGCTAAGGCTTCGGGACGTTGGCGGGAGCAAACTCACCCTTGAGGGGAGGTGTGGCAACTTGGACATGGGGAAAAGTACCTCACCCAAAAAGATGTCAATCGATAACCGTGTATACTAACATCCGTCCCTAACGAGGTCAAGGCCAGCCTGTCCTCAACCTGGAATCTGGGATTTCAATCGCATCTGGATCTGGGTAAACTAAAGCTGGAATTTCGTTATACCACATATTCATGTCCCACTCTTTGGAACCGTAAAATAGCAATGCAAATTGCATTTCAGACAAATGAATATTCTACCGTCTCACTGCCACTTGTGACCGAGGGTGGGACTTTATATCTTTTTGATGGTCATCCCGTCAATGGTGAGCTCGGCCCCCCAAAGTTGGGCTAGGCCCCACCAATACTGGACTCCCCCGCCCCCGCCAATTTCGGACAGAGCTTCCACAGTGTGGAATCTGGCGCCTTATACTTTTCAGTTCTCTGAGATACAGAAAACTTAAAGTTAAACAGACTGGAAACATATTTCAAACTCAAGTTTGTATTTCTATGCGTTCCTAAGACGTAAGACGACGGCATCTTGAATTACAGACCTATTGATTCAAAAAGTTATTGCACTGTGCTGATGAAATGAAACATAAACACCGCATTTCAGACAATGGCGAATGAATGCTGAATTCAAGCGTGTCTTTGCAATCGGCTTCGTGCTGCGCAGGCCACTGGTCGAGCCATGGACACCATGCAGTCGCAGTGGAGGCCAAAAACGACGATCTACAGTTTTGAGGCGCACCACTAGACCCGGATTCGAGCTCGTTTAGGGCGAACGAAGGAGACCCCACTTTCTATTGTCTGATAGGGGGGCATTCGATGTCCTATCGGCTTCTTGTAGGACAAAACACATTCTACACACAAATTTTCACAAACGGGCTCATATTCCCAAATTTTACCACGATGAAGTTAATGGCCATCACGCGGCATCACCACTTCCACCGTCGCGTTTTGTTTCTGGCAGAGGCTTAAGAATGCATATAGGTAAGTCCTGCAATTTGAGATATGTTTCCTTTTCATTCCTCGTCCGTCGTGATGGCTCAGCTGGTTACAACCACGGTCTTGAGTTACCTTGGCGGGGTTGCGCAAAAGGTCGAGAGACTTCAGAGAGCAGGACGGACCGTGTCGAGCAATGCGGTATGCCATTCGCCAAGTTCCACCGTTGATCTGGAATTCCGCAATCGGGTGGTAGGGGAAGCTCGCACAACGAGCAATGGCTCGGCGTGAGCCTCAATCCCTTCGACGGCGCACCTTAAAAAGAGAAGATGGTGTGTATTCCTATATGGCTGCCTTGCATATTAGCGCCAGCATATAAGCTTTTGTGTACTTATGTAACGCTTCGCCGCGTGACGATTACGCGTTACACTTATTACCGTGCTTCACAAATACAGCCACGAATGCAGTCTTGTGCATTACCATTCACAAACGGTACTGCACAATTGTGATGATTTTTGAAAAGAATGATTTCATCCAGTATCATTATATCTTTGAAAAATAATGCTTTCAGCAGGGTTGGTGTGATTAACTGGACAGATTGACAGCTGCAGCAACACAAAAATATAAATTTTACCCCTACCTCTCAAGTTCTACCGCCAGATTCCAGCATCACTTCGTGGTGCTCCCAACCGTTCAACTCATCAATCTAAAAACCGCACGCTCAAAATATGTGCCCGGCTACCTTTTTAGGCATGGTTTTAAGTCCTAAAGCGCTCAAAGGTACTTCTGTCAATTGTATGTGTCATTATTTTCGCCCATCTGTTGGCCGCGGAGTATTGTCAGGCACGCGGACGGCGTGCGGCCCTTGGAGACTGCAATGCCTGGCGTCCAGGTGTAATGCCAAGATTTGCGAGCACGCACGTTCAATACTACGTGACATAATTTGTATCACTGGCCAAGTCTGATTGAATGTTGAACTTTTCCAGACAAACAATTGCTGACCCATTTCGATCTGAAGTTGCGGGCCCTTAATTCCTTTATACAGTCCGGATAACATCCTGAAAAAACTTCTGAGCTCTATCCGTTGAGAAAAAGTCGACTGGACCATTGTAAATCAGAGAGTGTCGTTGACTTATTTCATGCAGTTGGTTAAGACATGATTTATTCAGTCTATTAACTATGAAATTAAGGCAGAATTGATCTTGCGGTAGCTTGTAACCTCTATTCCAGTTATAGAAGGTAAAAATGAGAAATATAACAAACATGCTCTCATTAATAAATTGGTCATATCTGGTGATTTTTGGTTGGGGAAGGCTCTCATTATCAGGGGCCCTTTGTCAACCCTGTGTTCTACCCTTGTCAATGTTCCGGCTGCGCACCTGTACCGAAATGTAGGAGGCCATCGGTTTCGGGCCCTTCGTCAAGTCTTTGCCCCCATCCCAAATTCGGGTACGCCGCCCCTGCGCACACACACACGCACACACACACACACACACACACACACACACACACACACACATATATATATATATATATATATATATATATATATATATATATATGTCCGATAATTTTTCCGTACCTATCCCCCATGGTGAATTCCAAGACTCCGGCCCCAATCATCTTGAAAATGAACACCCATGATATGGGGTCATTTTCGGGTCGTGCTATACCTCGAGATACCAGTTTGACCTCTTTAATACCAATTTTCCACCAATCCCACAGACAGGGCTACACCTAGAACAGGGGCGTCGATTAGTTAACGTAGTTTTCAAAAGCACTGACGAGGTCCGAAACTGGTGTGGGCCGCATTTATCTGCAACGGATGATACACGATTGCCAGTACGCGCGTCAGTGTCACGGAATTCAAGCGATGTCAATTCATCTTTTCCCTCCGTCTTGCTTAAATCCTTCTTGGGAAATGGGGGTGCTCTACCTGGACGCCACGATTATAACGCTCAGGTGTTAATCGCCAAAACTCTGGGTGGGAGGCAATTACCATTCGAATCGATGGGTATATGCGTTCGTTCAAAATGGTAAGATAGTCGTGGTAATGATGAATACGATATTCTCATTAATTTAAACAAAATATGTCCTTTTCAATGTTTTTGTACATGCAAAGCATGTCTACATTTTATTTTAAAACCAAACAAATATTAAAATGCTGATTTACCGAACAGGCTCAGAGTCTCGTCGTTTGCGAGACTCTGCGATAGTTAACGGGATATAGTGGTCACGTGACCATACAGGTTATTTTCGTAACTAAAATGGCGCTAACCGTCCTTTGCAAAATTCCAGTATTATTTGCAAATGGTGCATAATGGAAGAAATCGAGATGGGGAATTGATAAGCGAAGGAATAGGGGAATGTGTTAGTGGCCAAGTTGACTCATGTCGGGTAAGGCAAGCGGCGTAGTTTTGTTGTTACTAATACGGCGCAGCTCTTTTAGGTTAATTTGTTGTTGTATATGTCCATTTTGCTGTTTATTTTCACCTCACCCGGACGCATTTTATTTTGTTGTAATTGGGCGCTCTCAATGTGCAAGAAAAGAGGTGCAGTTATGAAAATAGGCGGTCAACTCTTAACCAAGCATGTTTTGAATGTTTGCAATTTGGTCAAAGTAAGAAGGGGATAACATGGATACACTAAGTTATATGCTGGTGATGACCTCAGGCATGAAGGTGGATACTATTAGCTATAAGTTATGTTCGTCTCATAAGGTTTATTGTCATGTGCTGGACATTTAGAAGGGCTAAAGTAAGTATGATTGAGCTGAAATTAACAAAATTGTTTCCTGGTTGGTACATTATGTGTATGCAATTTTTCACATTTGGTGTAGAGTTGAGGTTCCAAGGGCTTAGCACCCACAAAGTGCAGGGTGGGTGATATGTCGCATGTCAGATGGTATGGCTGAGCTAGCCTTTGGTGTGTGTATCTAGTGTATATATGGGTTTGTGAATGTGTATAAATGTGCATTTGTTGTATGTGGCTGCCGTGATTATACTTGATGGCTAAAGATAGCATGCTGAGTAAATTACTGATACCATACATGGTGCATTAACTACAAGTGTTGCTTCTTGTGCTTGGCATGGAATCTTAAAATATTATCTTTTATCAGTTATCTTTTATCGGTATACATGACCATGGCTTTAAGATGTTTAAGTAAATAGATTCAGCATAGTATGGACCAGTGAAATAAAATGAGCGTAGGGGGACGCTGTTAGCTCATTGTGCTATTGTGAAACTTATTTTGGTTGTCTGTCTGGCAGCAGCTAGTATTTAGCATCACTCTTGAAATGGACCATTGGACTTAATTGGCATAGCCTTTCCTACCTGTAGCTGTGATGTTTGTGTTCTGGCCTGCTATCTTATATAGATCCAAAGGCCCAACCATTGTTCCCATACATAATGGTCTTCGCTCCCAACATGGCAGGTTCAGGTATTGCCAGACTGCAGAGTCATCTGAAAATTGCATGGCCCTGGGAAATAAGTGATGTTGTAATTCTTATCTCATTTTAAATTTGATATGACTGTGTCTGTATAAATGTTCCTGTGATATGTTTGTTATGTTGATTAATAAGATGCACCATTTTTGAACTGGCATGAATGTGGGTATGGAAGGCAATAATTAGATGATATGAACAGGGCATTACACACATTTTTAAGGCACCTGAAATGGGTTAACCGATGTGTTCTCAGCATAGTTTTTTTCCAGAATTCATATCATGAACTATTCTCTACATGTAGAAGTTTGCAATTTACATGGCCTCATTTATTTTATGATGATTGATTATACTTTATGATTTTATAACATTATTGACTATGCATACCTACTAGAGCATGTTTGTTTGGTGAATAATTTGCATATCTTTCTATCCTTTCAGGTTATGCTGTTATGTTGCTGCACTGTTGTTGTTTTTTACATGTTTTACTTGCCATTTGCTCCACTATTCACTTATCCACTCCATATATATTGCTCCACTGTTCCATTTCACTGCTGAGAGTTTGTCACCTGATTGTTGCCACCAAGCAAGGAGTGAGAGAGGGCATGTGTGTGTGAGTGTGTTGTGTAAGCTGTTAACACAGCAACTGGTTTTGTGTGCATGTTATGCTAGTCACCATGTCATCTTATATCTGCAATGTTTTATTGTCTGATGTAGTATTTGATGATGTAATGGTGGTGTTAAGTACAAATCAAAGCTATTGTGCAATAGATATATGGTGTTGAACTTGGTTGCTAAATGTATTACTGTGAATGCAATAGAAATCACTAGTGAAAGAGGGATAAGTGAATTTGTGATGTGATCCATGAAGAGAATAGAACATCATCTGCAAGGGCAGAATTGGCTGACAGAATTGGTGTATGGCCATTGGTCAGCAAGTTACTATTTTGTCCTGATGCAGGGTACAGTTGCCAGGTATAAGTTTAGAATTGTCAGAATTGGGATTGGCTTACAATCCATGTACTGGATCTCTCCTGATGGTCCTTGATGTGTGAGGTACCGTAATGGCGGTCACATCACCAAAGCTATGTGATACACATTCGCATTGCACGTTCGTTAGCAACTTGAGTGGTATAAAATTTTGGGCATCACCCCCAACAGTATATGTCATTGTTGCAGATGTCAGATGATGTCAGGCATAAGGTCTCATACTTGCATCTTTAGTTTGTTAGTGTGTGTGTGTGTGCATGTGTATGTGGTGCTCAATTAAATTTCTGATGCTTGACACATTGAATAAGCAAGATGCTTATATCAGGGGATGTGTAACCAAATTAGCCTCAACCAACATACCCTAGGGCACACTTGGGCACACAAAAAACATGAGATGTATGTGCACATTTTGCTTTGAAACCCATATGAATTGCAACCAGCTGTTTATTGGTACTCCTGAGAGATCACAAAAATAAAGCTGGGAGTATTGTAGCATACTGGGTCTCAGGACAAGGAATGCATTCCATTTTGTATGTTGGGCTGCATGTATTTGGTAGACACCACTTGCCACTTTTGGGATGGGGCTAACATATATAAATGATTGCATGGTTTGCATACTTTACCTGAATGTAGTGACTGGTGTGACTTAGTAACCTAACCAAGTGATATGCTGCTCCACTTGTTGTGACAATGGGCATCGCATGAAATCCAGTTAGGTTGAATGTTATGTAAACCACTTCTTATATATGTGTGCATTTTATTGTGGGCCCAATTGCTGTTTTGCATTTGAACCCATCAATATAGTGGTGTGTATGCCGGCTTTGTGATAATGGTCACTGTCTTGAAATGGCAAGTATTGTCATGTATGTGTATCTCATGTGTATCTCATGTGTAAATGTCAAGTATTATCAATGCATATCGATGGTTGCTTGATATGTGTATTGAACAAGTACCCCTTTGTTGATTGAGGGTTGGCTGTTGTCAGAATCAGCACCCATCACTTCCTGTTGTAGTTTGTGGTCATTGCAAGATACTCTGAGTTCATAGATTCAAGGTGTATCTGTCTCCCATCTCAGTGTAGCAATCTTGGCTCCAAAATGTTTTGGCTTGTGAAGCCCATAAGCTGCAACACACAACATGTTTGTCAGCCAGCAGGCTGATTTTGGTATTCCTGTAGCATGTCCCATGCACATGAACACATTTTGTTTTTTAGCAAAAAGGAGTAAAAATTGCACTGAAGTTAAGTGACATCACTAGTTCAATACTATGAGTTGTCACACAATGGGCATGTACTTATGTGGGCCATTATTAGCCAGCTTGAGGAAAACACATGTGTTTTGGCCAAAGTGTCAAGACTAATAGCATGTGGATGAATGTAACATGATTGTAGCTCTTTTGCATAGTGCATTGCACCCAGACACTATCCCCTGTCACTTCAAGGAGCCATATCTAGACACATGAATGATTGCATGTGGTTTGACATAAATGATTGTAAAAAAGTAAGAATTCAGAGCAGCTGTGCATTAGATCTCAAGATTTGGAAGCAGCTCTGCTTTAGATCTCATCTTTAGGTGGAATAGAAATGTATTGCACTTGAGGGAGGGCAGGTCAGGGGGGTGCCAGAGGCCTCTTATTGATGTGTGACTTGGTCAGTGTGTGAAATATGAAGTAACAAAAGAAGGGAGAGAAATTTCTCAGATCTTGTGTGAGCATGAACACTATCCTGTATGGGGGCAAGTGAAATGTACTGTACTACCCAACAAGAGTAATATCTTCTGATGTATATTTGATGCCTCTTACATGTGACCCCATATGTGGCCATTCATTGGTTGGCAGTGTTTAATTCAACCCATTTTTGTTTCAGGTCTTTGAGCAGAAATGTCTCAGAGACTGAAGAGACTTGCCGGGAAGCCGGATGATCCCGGTAAGTTGGTTTACTCCAGCACTTTTGTGGAAAATTGGACACAACAGGTGTATGTACAGAACACTAAGGGTATTCCATTCTATGTGACATCCTGTAAAACTTATGCTGGATGTGTTCACAGCACGACATGTTTTCTGTTCACATCTTTGTAATTGTGGTGTCAATGAGGGTGCATGCAAGAAACTCACGATCACACTTACTCTCCTTGCTTCTAACAAGGGAAGCTTCAAATCTTGCTTTTTGTGACACATAAAACGTCCTTTGGTTACCCATGCTTCATTCTAAGCATGATAATTTATACACTTTTGATTAACTAAATCTTTTGCTTGATTTCTGTGTCAATATGATGAAATGACAGAAAAAGATTTGGCACACCTGGCTGAGGTTTTTCATGACATTTCATGTAAAGTGTTTGTTGTCTGTTTGCTGTGAACAACAAAAGATGCAGGATCTATTAGGCATGATGTCATGAATGATGTTGGTATATATTCTTTATCATCCAGGGTGCTGTGAATAACTCAACATTGTGATGTATCAATTGCATCTTGCATGTATCTATGCAAACTGATGATCATCAATTAAATATCAGAAGGCAATAGAGCAGATAGATCAGGAGCTTTGGAAAGGTCACATCATGGTTATCTGCAGGATGCATGTGCAGCAAAAGTTTGTCAGGCTAAGAATGAGGATGAACATGGCTATTCCACGATGCTATGTAAAATAAGCTGAGAATATGCAGACTACATCAATTGTATGATCTGAAATTTAAATGGAAGGTGTCACATTCATATTGGATGTGATTATGAAGCATTCAGTACATGTTATGCACTATACATAAAGTAGTTGGGCATATTTTAGGTGCCATGGGTAACCAACAGTGAGAGACCATTGATTTACTAGGCACTGTATCTATCAGCCAGGGGCATACATTGGATTTTACAATATGAGAGACACACCTCAGCATTGGTTGCTAAGAACCCCTTTAAGTGCTCCACAGGCTTGCAAATTGTATGGTTGGGAACATCTCACATTTGAATGTGCTTTGTTAAGATTGGGTATATGTTTTCTTTTTGGATTGCTGCTATTTCATTTTTACATCATTACCTGATTTGAGGCATTGCCATTTACATTACTATGTGAGCTGCACACATGTGCACACATGCTTAATTATGAGTTGTGTGACATTCTGCTCAAATATGTAACCCAAACACAATAATTTTACAGCATGTTCAGCAGGTACATGGGTAGTTTTTCTCACAATGATCATTTCACACATCTGAACAAAGCATACAACATTCAACAAGAAATACACAGTTTCTAACAAGGCAATTCCATTGGCCATGAAATAATTTCAGTTTGTCTTCCTATGCCTAAATACACTTGTTTATTTTGTATTGGTTCAGGAGCCTGGGCTGAAGATCCCTCTGCAAACAGGATGACAGAGTTGATGACATTCAAAGCACCAAGGCACCCAAACAGTATATGCTCGGTGAATGATCTCAAGCAGTTCTTACTGGATCTGCATAGCAACTGGCCAGCATGTCATCAGAAGTTTCACCATGGCATCAGGAAGTGATTGATGCCATCTTCATGGGTGCAGAATGGACACAGTTGTGAATCTACTGTTTTCTTTTTCTATAAGAACTTTGGTGTGGGTGTGTACCTGTTCAGTATTCAGTATTGTAGTATTTGGAGCTTTGTCGAGGCACAACATGTGTAAGGTGCTGATATTCATCCTAATGCATATTCATGTATGCAAAAATTTCACAGTAGGTGCATGCATTAGTGATTCTGTTCTACATCATACACCAGTTTGTTGTACAGCAGCAGAATACACCACTGGTTTGTTCTGCTTTGTGGTGTTTGCAGGCTGTTTGCAATGCCTATCTTCTGTGAATGAGGTGAGACTCATTCCAAGAAGTCCTTGTCATTTACAGCAAATTATGGTGCCCCTGCTCCTCTCCCAATTGCAAATCACGGTGGCATGTTCGTGTGTTTAAAACTTCCACTCCCAAATTGATGTAAGACCCACCAAGTGTGCCAGGAAAGAGCCTGCTGACATTGCATAAGACATATCACCCAGCCCAGGTAAAGGCACTCAGAGTGTGCTTACATGTGTGTCCAAAGAAATTTGTTTCCCTTGATTGGAAGTGGAGCATGAAGACAGATAAGCAGTTATTTGAGCAGGATGCAGCATTAGCAATATTCACAGGGCTGGGATCTGATAGTGGGTTAAGAGAAGCTATGTTTTTCTTCATCAGTGACCATTGATTCTGTGAGGCTTATCTTTTTATTTCAAAATGCTGATACTTTGCATTGTATGACAAATGGAATGACCTCTGCAATTAAATATGCCTGGATATGCATGCCCTGCCAATTGCTGATTATCCTCAAGGTGGAACCTAGAACTGTTTTGGCAACTGGAAACGCACCAGAATTTCAGCAGGCTTGTACTATTTAGTTTCACGCTCCCAGTGTATATATAGACACTGCATCATTATGATGTGAGGAACTTAGGCTGGATACTCAGTTAACCATGTGGTCCATGGGCGCAAAATGACCACTGCAGTTGACGCGCCCGAAAACACCAATGAACAACAAATCATGTGGTCCACAGGCTGCTTTTTTGGGTAGAAATACATGTGTCAGCATCAATATGTGGGAAAATGAGCCCCATCAATGTGGCCTGCAAAGCTGAAAAGGGGTCCCAAGTTGATGCAATTTTGAGATGTCCTCCCTTTTTTTGTTTCTCTTCATGTGTGTATGCATGTGTGGTGCACAGTGATTGGGAGCTTGGCTTGTATAGCACCATTGCAGTTGCCTTCTTTTTTAGTTTCTTTTTTCAGCTACTGGTCAGTTTGAGCTTTATATTAACTTCTTTCAGATTAACTTCCACAAGACATAGCTATGGTGGAATTTGATGTGAGAAAGCAATGCACTGGCAACATTAAACTACTGGCCAACCAAAGTCTCTTAGTCACATATCTTAAGCCACTCTGAGATGCCTTGCTTGTGAAGGGCGTTACTGCACCCCATAGAAACTACTGCTCATCTCTCCTCACATTCTGTTTGTGACCAAGGTAAACATAAATTTGTTTGACCATCTCAATGTTCTGTTATATTTATGCGCGTTTTGTGCGTGATATGTAACAGTGAGTCAGTTAAATGTAGCGCTTGGTAATTCAGTGGGGTCCTGCAGGCTGGCTTTCTGTGGACTGTTGACCCGCTCACTGCAGGGTGTTCAAGCTGTCATGTAAACCTGGTTACTTTGGATGTCCTAAGGTGTTTGTGAACTTCAAAATGGAAACAGAAACTTAGGTTTTTTAATTGGTTTGAGTAGCTGTATGGTTGGATAGCTGTGAATGTGGGCAAATTTGCAGCACCCACCATGTACATATTGTTGTTTTGGAATTAACACTGTTTAAGTAAGCTGCACTTCCAAACGCAGTTGCTAGGTTTTTCCAACGCTATGCCTGGCATGGGTGAGAGCAACAGTTGACACATTTTTGGGTCATCCAGTATTGTTATATTTTCTGGAATTTAGGTGAATAGTCCACTGGAGCATTTTGGGTTGATATTGGGGCAGCAATAACATTTAAGCTATTTGGATTGGTGTTAACTGATTATGACCACAGTTTCTGTTACGGTGCTGGTGGGATTCCGTGGGATCTTGGACAACATATTTAAATTAGGTTTCTTACAGCACAGATCGGAGAACTGTGCATAATGCATCAGCTATCATTCAACTAAAACCATGCAGCGCTTCTTCTGGACGTGCGATGCTTCTCCAAGTCACCTTAGTTTTAATGATTGAATGAATGGTGAATAAGTTGATACACTGAAACCTTGCAAAGCCACATAGTCTGCACTTAGCCAGGTGCATTGCTATTATTGACTGCTGATCTGGAAAAGGCAGCCATTAGGACATTTCTTGCGCAGTATTACAGCGTGACTTTTAACTACCGTCCTAGCTCTACCCTGCCGTGTACTGGTTTCAGTGCCCCGCCAGGGAGCCTCTGATAATCCTTCCCAGCCCGCCGTATTCGCCGCCGTATTCGGCTTGTGATACTACGTCGATAGGCCGTTGCCTTGACCGGGTGTGTGATGCGCCCGTGGCGCGGGGGCCCGGCCGACGCGGCGCGGTGCGTCTCGCGACGGCCGGCCTGCCGCGGCGCGCGCCTGCTCCAGGAGCACGCGCTGACTGTCGCTCGCTCGCTCGCCCCCCAGGCCCCATGGGGAAGCGGAAGCGGCGCAAACTGAGCGGTTCGGAGGACGCCGACTCGCAGCTGCCGTCTGCCTCCGGCCACGTCTGGACGCCCAAACACCTGGGCAACCTCAAGGCCTACAACAAGAAGGCTGTCGAGAAGCCGGGCGAGGTGAGTTGGGTCTGACCGGCGGAACAGTGGGGAGCGGCGGCCGGCAGAAAGACTGCGAGATGAGGCGGGGACGCGGTGGGGCGCCCCTCCTACGGTGTTTGCGCGATTTGGTAGTCGGACGAGTTTGAAGCATTGGGTCTATTTGCGGGCGCAAGCGATGCCCTGCCGCCGCCTCTTGTTGGGCTCCCTCTTATGGTAGCTTTTCACAACCCCTATGTCGGATTTCGGCACCTATTGCATGGCTTGATCACGCATCGGTGTCCTCACGCGCTGTGGGGAGCGGTTGCACTGGCCGTGGTGAGCGGGCACCGGGTGACGCCGGCTCCCCTGACGCCGCCCGCTGTCGGCCGCCGCCGCAGCTCATCCGCAAGGACCTGATCAGTGCGATGAAGCTGCCCGACTCTGAGTACCTGTGTCCGGACGAGTTCCTGGAGATCGCCGACCAGTGGAAGCAGGAGTGGGAGCGCGGCGTCCAAGTGCCCGTCAACCCGGACACGCTGCCGCACCCGCGCGTCAGCTCCGTACCCGGTCCGCCCTCGCGCCAGCAGGACTTCCGAATGTGAGTGAGGCACCCGCGGCCCGGGCTGTTCAGTTGTGGGAAGTAAAAAAATCTATTTGACTGAAACGTATGCGTCAGTTTATAAACCCACCCCAAAGGGATGGGCGTCAGGGACTCCGAGTGTGTGACCCGTGCTTTCAGCTTTTGACGGTTTACTGTGTTTGGAGGACGGGGATGGCTGGCTGTTTGTGTGCTGAAGGAGCTGAAATGGGTGGCTTAGACGACCTGGGCTGAGGGTTGATGGCTGATGTGCTAACACAAGCGTCATTAGAAATATCTGATTCTAAAAAAAGGCATCACCGTTCCCTCTGATTGCCACTTGACGAGGTATTTGTGAATGAGACTCGCTGCACACGCCAACGCTGCTCTGGAGAGCGGCCTCGGTGGCTGACGAGCGCCTGACGCCCTGCCGCCGTCTGTCGGGCAGACCGAAGAAGCTGCTGCGCGTGACGCACGACGACGCGTCGCCGGAGCTGTACCACATGACCAACGCGCCGGCCAAGGCGGAGAAGATGTGCCGCTACGACCTGGACGACCAGGACTCCATCTGGCTGGGCGTCTTCAACGGCGAGCGGGGGCGCATGGGTAGGTGCTGTTCGGGCGCGCGTGCGCCCTGCGCCCCGCACGTCGCGTTCGCCGTTCACTGGGCGTGTGTGGGATGACGTTTTTCGGATGCGGTGGAGAGGGAGGGCCGGGGAAGAAGGGCATCGGTGGCATGCGTTTAAACATTTCCGTCTTTCCGGGTAGTCCCGTTTCTCACCGTCACCCGCCAAAGTCGCGCATGCGCATCGCCTGCGTAAATTAGGGGCTTTGGCCCCGTCGAGTGACACAGTCTGTTCGGGGAAACAGTTCGCGTTATTTTGAGCCGTTTTTAACGAGCCTGCTGGTGGGTAAGTCATCTCAGCGCTAAGCACTTCTCGCTTGTGCAGCCGGTCTGCCAGGGCCCGAGTTGTGCCGGCCGCCGCGGCAGTATTGTAACCCTGGCTGACCGTGTGTATGACGGCTCGGCGGGTATGGTCCTGGCAGCAGCGTCGTGGAAGTTCTTGGGCCCTCTGCGGTTCGTTGTTACGACGTGCGGGAGGGGAGGGGAGACCTGTGGGAGGCCGTGTTGCCGGAGCGGGCTCCCTCGGCACCGGCATGGGTGCCTTCCGCACTGGTGCGGTCATGGGGCGCGGGGTGAAATGTGGATGCTCACATGGTTCAGCTCTGCTCATTTGAGCGAGCTGTTGAGGTAATGCCGGCGTGGTGGTAAAGGCACGTTGTTTATTAATTGGCTGGGAATACCAAAGGACAGGTCAGGAGACCAGATCACCAGTGTTGCATTTAGTCAGTCATAAATGCGGTAGTTGGAACGGACTCGCGAGCGTACTTCTGGTGTTCTGTTTAAGTGGCGAGCGTACTTCTGGTGTTCTGTTAAAGTGAATGCGCTATTTTCGGTGCGGAGAGTTGTCATCCTAATGCCCGTAAGCCTTTCTATCCAAGTTTTCCGAAGCATGTTGTGTGCATGCACACAATCGTTGTGTCTTCTACAGAAAACTATCGACGAGTGTACGCGTTGCCTACAGTAAACGACTTACGTACCCTGGAACGTGCAAGCCCCTTACATGTGCACGCTGTCGGAAGTGCACATGTAAGGAACGGTTGGGCGGCCTTCTCTACTCCATGCCTGGTGGCTGGGGTTGCTGACCCGTACGCCGGGTGTCCACGGCAGGTTGACTGAGTGTTACCCCGGCCTGGCCCCGTTTTGTGCAATGACGTGCGTGGACGTGCTGTGCCGTGACGTGCCGTGCCATTCTCGCCAGGCCTGCCGGCCGTCTCCGACCTGGAGATGGAGCGGGCCATCGAGGACATGGAGCGCCAGTGCTGGAACAAGATCCAGACCATCGTCAAGACGCAGGAGGGGCTTAGCATCGAGTTCGATGAGAACGTGGTCTGCGACGTCTGCCAGCAGGTGAGCACTGGGCGAGGCTCCGCCGCCCCCTGACGGCAGTTGTAGCGGCGGCTCCGGGGGGCGCCCGCCGCTACGCCGCCACAGGCGTCACAGAACGGTCCCAGCTGCTGCTCACCACTCGCTGTACGGGGCGGGCAGTGCTGGGCCGGGCTGGCGCGAGGTGATTCGTGCCTGCCTGCTCAGTGTTTGAGAATGGCCGGTGCAGTCGGCAGCGCGGTCGGGCAACGCGAGGACTGGAACAGCTCGAGCGGGCTGTGACCCGTCGCCTGTTCCGTTCACTTGGTCACGTCCCGCGGATTGTGCTGCTGTGCTGTGCACATGCTGCTAGTGCATCCAGGCGCCAGGTGTGCGGCTGGCGCGTGGATTTAGCCGGTGGTCTTGCGATGTCCTCCGTTTGTCTCCTGGGCGTGTGTGTTGGCGCCGGTCCGAGGCGGCGTTGCCGCGGTGGCTGACGCTGCCTCCGTCGGCAGCCGGACTCGGAGGACGACAACGAGATGGTGTTCTGCGACAAGTGCAACATCTGCGTCCACCAGAACTGCTACGGCATCACCAGCATCCCCGACGGCTCGTGGCTCTGCAAGGCGTGCGCGCTCGGTATCAAACCCGACTGCGTGCTCTGTCCCAAAAAAGGTCAGTGCGGCGTCGGTCGCCGGTCACCCAGCGTGGGGCCAGGCCCACTGCGGAGATCAGTCGGCCGCCAGACGCCCTACTGCTAACGTAAACAGTGTGCTTGCTCCGCAGTAGCAGTCTACCTTCCGTGCGTGTTACAAGAAAGGTTTATTTTCTTTTCTGCATTATGTTAATGTAGGTGCTCCCATTGCATTACAGAAGGTATGCCATTACATTACAGTGGGTATATATATATATATATATATATATATATATATATATTACAGTAGGTGTGCCCATTTTTAGTGATACAGGTGTTCAATATATGAATACCAGGATGGATAGCCGCTCCATAATGGTGTCAGCCCGTTGCCCCGCCTGGCCGAGAGCGGGGCGGTGCGTTGTGTTGCGGCAGCTTACAGATGTGGCCCTGCCACTGCCACAGGCGGTGCCATGAAGAGCACCAGGTCGGGTCACAAGTGGGCCCACGTCAGCTGCGCCCTCTGGATCCCCGAGGTCAGCATCGGCGACGTCGAGAAGATGGAGCCCGTCACCAAGATCTCCAACATCTCGGTGAGCGCTGCTGCTGGCTGTCAGGCCTCAGGTGGTTGCCTGCGTGAGTAGCCGGTATATTGGCACTTGTGCTCTGTCCCCGGTTGTTTTGACTCGCTAGGCGTTTTATCTCTACCCATTTGAGCCATGTGTCAAATGCGCTGAAGGTCGCAGACACCGACTTTGGCACGTTGGGATGTGTAACGCATCCTGCCATGACGTCACCAAGATAAACAGCATTGGCGTAAAGTTACCACGGGTACCGTCGCGCCCGTCATCGTAATTATCGAGATAAACAGCATCAGTCCCATTGAGGATTGGGCAAGCTGCTACGAAAGGCTGCAGCATCACAGCTAATGGAAAGTGCGTCTGTTGCAATATTAGGTATGTTGCTATGGAACTGCCTTTTTTGACCTTCCACCGCCGTCAGAATGTCGTGCCAGAACACCTGCTGTCAGGTGTCTGGCGGTTGGTTTTTTTTATAACGCATCGAACTGCGATTTGCCGTTTGTGCAAACAATTCAGCGTCTTGTTGGGTTCCATAGCGCCAGCACATATTACGATGCTTGAGGCGGACTTGAGTCCCCGGATCAGGTCGCAATGCTCGACTATGGCGACGAAGTCTGGCTGTGGGCTTTCCGTGCACGACGCACGACGTGCAGCACATGCACGACGATGTCCGCATGACTTCAAAACCTGACTGCTCGTGAATGTAATTTTCCTCCATGAACAAACAGCTGTGTGCTTCTGTCGGAGCTGTAGTAATCAGTAGGCCCATTTAAGTGGGGTCCACAGAGTTTCATGGTTGAATAATGAGACTTTTCGACCCGAAAGTGCCTAATTTTATTTCCATTGAAATATTGGAAATGGTGTTTGGATTATGGATATAAATACAGTCATTGCATCATAGTATGTGATATGGTTGACTAGCATGTGTACGTAGACGAGCGCCACATTATTGGAAGAAGGAAACAGCCTGACCAAAAACCTTATACGAATGTGGTGTGTAATCCTCGTCGTTAGCATGCCACCCGGCCAGTATTGTTTTTTCTTCGCGAGCGAGATTCCCTTCGTGATGCGAAAAACTGCAGATGTTTTAAGTTGACTGTGGCATTTACCAGCATTGCTCGGTATTAATTTTGAATATTTCTTCGGCTTTGTGCGCATTCGAGTTTATACTGAGCGCGGCGCGTGACGCGGCGAGCTCCGTCGTAGGGCCACGTTCGTGTTAGGCGATACCCCGGCTGGGGCGCGGCGCCGCCGGCGGCGCGCAGGCCGGTCCGGCCTCCGCTGATGCTGGCCGTGTCCGTCAGGTGCGGCGCTGGTCCCTGCTGTGCGTGCTCTGCAAGGAGAAGGTGGGCGCCTGCATCCAGTGCTCTGTCAAGTCGTGCAAGACGGCCTACCACGTGACGTGCGCCTTCAAGCACAACCTGAAGATGAAGCCGGTGGAGGACGAGAGCGACGACGACGAGATCCAGCTGAAGGTGGGCTGGCGGGCGGGCGCAGCTCGCGGCTGGGGTTCGCCGCCCGGCCGGTGGCTCGGGGCGCAGCGACACAGCGCGGCCGCAGTGGGTGATCGGTTGAAGCACCCAGGGGTGGAAGCCACCGTCGTTGTCCGAGCGGTCATCGGTTATGTTTGCAAGGGTTGCCACAGTAGCAGTGGACCGTCGATATCTGTCCCAGTGACAGTGGATCCTCTGAAAAACGTGCAGGGAAGGTTTAATGCCCGTCGTACTTTAGTGTGTAACGCTATGGGATAATTTTTTGTGAAAGCGGTTGCCCTCCCCCCCCCCCCCCCCCCCCTGCCTTCCATCTGGCACGACCGCTGCTGATCTGTGGTCCGTCACTGCGGTTAGTGGACGGGTAGGTGCAATTTGCGGTGGTCGCCGAGCCCTGCTGCACGCCTGCTTAATCTCTGCGGCGCCCGCTGACGCCCGCTACTGCCGTTCTAGTCGTACTGTCCGAAGCACAGCAAGAACGAGAAGCTGTCGGGCGAGTCGGACTCGGACGGGGAGCTGCGTCGGCCTGATCCGGACTCGGAGGCGCAGCGGCGCACTCGCAAACAAAAGTGAGTGGGGCGTGCACTGACAGGGACCACGCGACCATGCGCGGCTTCCGTCGTCGAACGGTGTTTGTTCACTCCGGGCGCTGAATCCAGCGCAGTTTTGGAAGCGATTGCGTGCGATAGTTCCTCACTTTGCAAGCGCGGCTTGTTCGAAATTCGCTGGACCTTTACACCAGAGATACGGCTCTCATCTGTGACGTCCGCCGGACGTGGCCGTGGGCTCGCCAGACTCGGCTGGCCGGTCTGCCGCGCCGTGCCGGCGGCAGGCTCTGCGCCACGGCCGGCGGTACCGGCTGTCGGCGAGATCCGCGCTCACCCGTCCGCGTGCCCGCCACCGCCAGGCTGCAGCAGATCGAGTCCGAGTTCTACCGGCACGTGGACCTGCGCGGCACGGCCGCCGCCTGTGGCGTCCCCATGGAGGCGGTCGAGTTCATCTACAACTACTGGAAGCTGAAGCGGAAGGTATGGCCCGGTCTCCGCGCAGGGACCGTCTCGGGCGGCCTGGCGCAGCCTGCAAATAGGCTACCCGTACGGCGACATTGTGCCATGTCCTTTGCTAGTCATGCGGCTCGTGGGCTACGGTTCGAAGTGGTAGGCAGATGGGAGGCCTGACGCCGGTGAAGTTCGCACCGTGTAGGACTATGGTCGGTTTTGTTAAAAGAGCGCTTTTGAGAATGAAAATTGACAAGCTATGCTCCTACTAAAATGGAAATGTAGTTGGACCACCACGAATTCGTCGCCTGAACATATTCATGGGGATGTAATTGCACGCTGTTAGCAGACATGAACCACCACTTTCTACCGAGTTTCACGCGATACACTGGGTCCAGATAGGGACAATACGTCCGTTCATTGGTGCAGGAGAGACGGGACGAAATGGGACGATACTGTCGCGGTGTGTGTCAATATCACCGCTTCCGCGTGCTGTAGTCCGTGGCACAGGGACAGAAAGCCTCAAAGCCTGGACGAGTCGTTACTAGTGACCTCGCCAGCGGGAACGCGGGGCTTTAATGAGTGCGGCTACGGGCTGGTCATTACCGGACGTTCGTGGCGAGAGGCCGCTGAGTCCTGAGCGACGGGCGGACGGCCCTGGATGGGGCGGCGGCCGACTAACGCGTCTCTCCGCCGTCCCAGTCGGGCAACAACAAGGCTCTGCTGACTCCCAATACGGATGAGATCGACCTGCGCACCGAGCAGCAGCAGCAGGACCTGGAGAAGGTCAAGCAGTTCGTCCACATCCGGCAGAACCTGGAGAAGGTGCGCGCCGGACGGTGGGCGTTTGGGCGGGACGGAGGGGGGGGGGGGGGGCAACCAGACCAGTGCGCCGCAAGGGGCTAGTTGTGCTGTTGTTTTCTTACAGTCAGGTTCTGCTTGTTAGGGGAGGATATGCGTTTTGTGCATTAAATGCAGAGGCTTTGCTGAGGCCCAGCAAAACCCAGTGAGAAACGCTTAAGTCCTTCGTTAAGTTTCGCTCACCAAATATGTGTCAGGTTCCTGCCTTGTCAAGCTCCTACACGAGCTGGTGAGCGAGAGTCTTCCTGCTTAATTGGGCAACTAGTCAGTTTCATCGACGGGTGGAATCACCCAAACTCAGCGGGTGTAATGGAGTCAGATCCATTCGGACTAGCTTAGTCACATTTCATCGAACGACGTCAACGTCCAAACGAAAATCTGCGATGATGTGCCGTCTGATTAGTTTTCATGATCGTGCCCTTGCTGTCCGTGCGTCTGCTGAACACGCTCTCCTGCGTCGCCCAGGTCCGCAACCTCTGCTACATGGTCACCAAGCGCCAGAAGCAGTGCCGCAACTACTTCCGGCTGCGCGAGCAGACGTTCCTCAGCCAGGCGGCCGTGCTGCGCGACCCGGCCAGCCGGCTGACGGCCGAGGAGCGGCGCGCCGTGCTCGACGCCAACCACATCCGCGACAACGTGTACGACCGGCACTACTCGCACGCCGAGGCGTCGCTGCACGCGCACCCTCTGCAGCAGCTGCTGGACGTGATCCGCGGCGGCAAGGCGGGCGCCGCGCCGCACTGCGAGCTGAACGGCGCCGTGCGCCGGCCGGGCGGCGCCGACCCGTACCGGCGCCAGTACGTCAACGGCGCCGAGCGGCGGCGTAGCCAGCTGGCGAGCAGCTGCAGCAGCGAGTCGGACGGCAGCCGGGAGCGGCGCGCCGCCGCCAGCGCCGGCTCCAGCTCGGAGGCCGACCGGCCGCGCACGGTGAGTGGACGCCGCGCGGCCGCCGCCACCGAGCGGCTCACCAAGCAGTCGCTGTTCGGCAAGGACTCTAGTGAGAGTGACGCGCCGGCGGCGCCAGTGACTCAGGCGGGCGGCAAGTACCGGCGGCCGGGCCGTCACAAGGCGGCGCCGGCGTCGCGCCCGCCCAAGGCGGCCGACAGCAGTGACGAGGACACGCCGCGGCTGGCTGAGAGTGTGGCGCGCCGCGGCCGGGGCCGAGGCCGCGCGCGCGTCGGCGTCGCGACCGAGCGGCGCCGGCCGCCGGGCGCCAGTGACGCCGCCACTAGTGACTCGGACTCGAGGCTGCCGGCCGGCGCGGCGAGTGCTGGCAAGGGCCGACACATCTACACGGACAGCGAGTCGGACGCCGACGATGACAAGCTGCGCTCCGCCTCGTCCGTCAGCTCAAGTGCAATTCGAACCAAAGCGGCGATGAAGGCGTTCTCGACGGCGGTGAAGGCGGAGGGCGCGCCGGCCGGCCGGCTGGAGGAGCCGCCGGCGGCAGCCGCGCCCCGCCGCCGCGGCCGCAAGAAGAAGTCGGAGCTGCTGGCGTCCGAGCCGGACGTCAGTTCGGTCAATACAGAGAAGGCGCCGGTGCCCGACCTTAGCTTGATCGTACCGCCGCGGCAGGCCATGCTGGACGCCAACAAGCGCATCGCCGGTCAGAAGCCGGCGGACGGCGCTGCGGCGGCGGTGATGGCGCCGGTCGCCGCGCCCGAGCCGGCCACGCCGCAGAAGCGGGGCCGCGGCCGACCGCGCAAGTCGCCCGAGGGCCGCTCGGCGTCCAAGTCGCCACGCGTGGGCGCGCCTGGCCGCGACCCGCTGCGGCCGGCGCCGGCCGAGCCCGTCGACGAGGGCGCCGACAACGTCGCGGTGACGCGCGATATCCGTCTGCGGCGGCCGGAGAAGCAGCCCTTTCGATCTGGAGGGCGGTCGGGGCACAACTACAAATCTACTCAGTCGCACAATGCGACAACTGAAGATGCCGCTGCTGGACCGCCCTCGGTTCAACAGCAGCAGCGGCGAGGCAGCGCCGGTAGCTCGGGCTCCAGCAGCTCCAGCAGCAGCAGCGGGTCCAGTGGCAGCAGCAGCAGCAGCGGCAGCTCCAGCAGCAGTTCGAGCAGCGGCAGCAGCTCTGACAGTGCGGAGTCCGACGCCGAGAGCCGCGCTCAACCGGCGCCTGCTGCGCGAGGTGAACGCGGCCCGGCTGGGCGAGGGCGAGCTGTCGCTCACAGTCCGCGCAGCGCCGCCGACGCCACCGCGGCACCCGCCGCCGCGGCGCCGCGACGCCGCGCGTCGGCTGGAGGAGCAGGAGAACCGGGCCAAGACGCGCAGCCAGAAGCGACTACGCTCGGCGGACAGCGCAGCCCGCGGCCCGAAGCGCTAAAGAAGGCGCGCCCGATGCCGCGCAGTCGCAAGATCGCGTTGGGCCTGGAGGCGGAACCAGACGCGACGCAGGCGCCGCCGCTCGAGCCGCGCCGGCTCTCGTCGTCGGCCGAAAGTAAGCCGATGCGGGGCTCGATCGCCAGCATCCTCAGCGAGCGGTCGGCCAAGGAGAGCAGCGAAGGGGCGGCGCGCGCCGGCTACCGGACGTCCGGCGAGGAAATCCGCGTCGAGCGGCTCGAGGATATCAGCGACGAGCCAGCGGCGGCGGCCGCTCCGGCGCCGACATCGGCAGCACCCGCCGGCCGCCGGCCGGCCGCCGTCGGCGACACCGACGACCAGGTGCTGCCGGCACAACCATCCTCCATCTTCTCGCCGCCTCGGCTTAACGCCGGCGACCCGATCTTCGACTTCGAGACGGCCTTGTTTGGCGGCCAGAAGTCGGCGGCAGCGCCAGCGCCGGCAGTGGCAGCGCCAGCGCCGGCAATGGTCGCCCCGGTGGAGCAGCCGGCGGAGCAGCCGGCGCAGCCGTCGGTCCAGCCGCCCGCGCAGTCATCGGCGCAGCCGCCCCAGCCGCCTCAGCAGGCCTCGTCCATCTTCTCACCGCCGCGCTCGAGCGCCGGCGAGCCCGCCTTCGAGCTGGACACGAGCGTGCTGGCGGGCCTGAAGTCGGCGGCGCCGGTGCAGCCAGCCCGACCAGCGCCGCGCGCGCCTGTCATCATGGAGACGAAGGAGGAGAGTCAGCAGGTGACCATGGACCTGGTGGAGAAGCTGCGCCTGCAATACGCCCAGCAGGGCCCGGACGAGCGGCCGGAGGAGAAGCCGGCCGTGACGCCGGGCCGGGGCGGTCCGGCCGACACGCCCACGCGCGGCGAGGCGTCCAAGTGGCGGCCTTTGGCGTCCGTGGAGTCTGAGCCGGAGCCGCCGCCGGCGCAGTCGGTGCTGCCGCAGGTGGAGCCGACGCCAGTCGAACGCAAGGTCGAGCCGAGTCCGACGGCCGCCGTCAGCAGCCTGCCAGGCAAGCCGCCGCCACCGGCAACCGGCTCGCGCCGCTCGACCAGCTCCGAGGCGGAGCGGCCGGCCGAGCCGCTCCAGTCTCCGCCGCCGGCCGACCGGCACGCCCCGCCGCATGCGGCGCGACTGCGCCGCAAACGGCACGAGTCGCGCACGGACGGCACGCAGCTGTACGCCACGCCGACCGAACTGCCCGGCTTCGCGTCCCCGCCGGCACCGCCGCCGCCGGGCAGCGTAGCCGGCCTACTGGCGCAGCCGCGCGGTCTCGGCTCCGTCAGCGTGCGCACGCCGGCCAGCATCAACGCCGCCAGCCCCATGCCCCCGCCTTACGCCCAGTTCGGTGCTGAAAGCATGATGCAGCACTTGATGATGATGCAGTCGTGGCCGGAGGGCCAGCTGCGGGAGCTGATCCAGATGCAGTACGAGCAGTCGCAGCAGTACCTGATGCGGCAGGACGCGGAGGCTGAGCGTCGCAAGGAAGCAGAAATGGAGCTGCGCAAGCACGACGAGATGATCAAACGGCAGGAGGAGCGAGCGCGGCAGGACGCCGAGGAGCGGCGCCGGAGGAGCGAGGAGGAGCGGCGCCGGCGCGAGGATGAGGAGCGGCTGAAGCGCGAGGAGAAGGAGCGGCGTTGGGAGGAGGAGCTGCTGCGCCGGCGGGAGGAGGAGGAGCGTCGGCGACGCGAAGCGGAGGAGGAGGCAGAGCGGCTACGGCGTGAGGATGAGGAGCGGCTGAGGCGCGAGGAGGAGGAGCGGCTGCGGCGTGAGGAGGAGGAGCGCAGCGCCCGCGACATGGAGCGGCTCCAGCAGGAGCTTCTGCGCCGCCAAGAGGAGGAGCTTCTGCGCCGCCAAGAGGAGGAGCAGCAGCGGAAGCAGGCCGAGGTGCGCCTGCAGGCTCTGATGGCCGAGCAGGAAGCCGAACTGCGTCGCAGGCTGCTGGCGCCGCCGCCGGTCGCCGCCGAACGGCAGCTGGTCAAACCGGCCGACCGTGCCAAGGACCAGCGGCCGCCGGCTGCCGAGCCTGACCACTGCCGACTGCAGGCGCTCCAGGCGCTGGTCACGCAGGAGGACGAGCTGAAGGTGGCGTCGCCGCCGCCGGCGCCGCCCGACTCGGAGCCGGCGCGCGAGGCGGTCGCTGAGGCGCAGGCGCCTAAGAGCAAGGTGCTGAGCCAGCCGACACCGCAGGAGCTTGTGTCGGAGTTCCCGCGCGTGGGCGCGGCGCCGGACGCGCTGAGCACAGAGCAGCCGCCGGCCGCGTCCACGCCGTCACTGCCGGCTGAGGCGCCGGCCACTGTGCCCGTGCCAGTGTCGGTGCCGGCCCCGGCACCGGCACCGGCACCGGCACCGGCGCCAGCACCAGCACCCGACGTCGAGCCGGCGCCGGCGGCGGCCGGCCGTTCGCGTGGCCGCCGCGAGTCCAGCCTCAAGGCCAGCATGCAGATACAGAAGATCCAGTCGACCGACGCTAGCGACTTCAATGACGCCGAGCCGGTGGTGCCGGTGCGCCGCGCGGCGGCGGCGCGCCACGCCTCGCCCGGCAAGAGCCCGCGTGCGGCCGAAGGCAAGCCGGCCGGCCGCGGCCGCCGCGGTGGCAAGGCGGCTGCCGCGCAGGCCGTGTACGGCGGCCGCGGTCGAGGCCGGGGCCGCGGACGAGGGCGCGGCCGCGGCGCCGCCGCCACGCGCGCTGCGCCCTTCTGTCCGAAGCCGCAGGTGCCCAACGACCTGGCCGGCACTGTGTACGACTTCGATGACGACGAGCTGGACGACCTGCCGAAGACGCCACGCGGCCGCATGCGGCCGGTGCGTGAGCGCTTCCTCAGCACGGACGTGGGCTCGGACCGGGCCGGCTCCGCCATGTCGGAGCCGGCCGACGACGCGTCGAGCCGCTCGTCGCTGCCGGCGGCGGCGCCGCTGCCGCAGGTGCTGCCCACGCTAACGCAGCCGGGTGCCTCCGAGACCAGCATGGAGTCGGCCGGCACGCCACCAGCGCTGCAGGAGGCGGCTGCCGTCGAGGCCGAGGAGCCAGCGGCGTCGGCCGCGCCATGCGCCGCCGACGCGCCGCCCGAACTGCCACTGGCCGCGCCCATCGAGAGCGTCCGCGACGAACGCAACCAGCTCAAGCTCAAAATCAAGGGCCCGTTCCTCAACCCGAGCTACAACGTGCAGCCGGTGGCGGCGGCGGCGTCGGAGGCGCTGCCGGCGACGCCCAGCGCCGCGGCCGTTGCCGCCGCCGCCGTGGCCGTCAACTCCAATCTGCGCAAGCGCAAGAAGGAGTTGATCCGGCAGTACGTCAACAGCACGGAGACGGAGGGCGCGGCCGAGCCGGCGCCGCCGCAGGAGGATAGCTCGGTGGTCAGCCAGCGCTTCATCTGTCCCAAGGCGGTCAAGTCTGTGAGCAGCGCGCCCACGCGCGACGACTACCGCGGTGCCGTGGCCGGCAAGGAGGAGGGCGGCGCGGCGGCGGCGGCGCTGCTGCCGAAGCGGCGCGGTCGGCTGGCGCGCGAACCTGCGGCGGCGGCGGTCACTGCGCAGGAGGCTGTGCCGCACAAGCTGCGCATCAGCCTCGGCAAGGACGGGCGTGGAAGCGAGCTGAAGCCGCCGAAGAAGCGGACCGGTGAGCTGTCGGCGGCGGCCGGCGAACTGTCTGTGTTCGAGAAAATTCGGCAGGACAATCTGCAGTTCGGTGACCAGATGCTGGCCAGCTTCGACCAGGAACCGCCGCATAAGAAGGGCAAGAAGAAGAAAAAGAAGAAAGACAAAGACCGCGACAAGGAGAAGAAGAAACGAGACAAGTCTCACAAACACTCCAAAGTACAAATTATTAATAACGATACTGCCGCGGCGCCGAAGCTGATTATCAAACTGGGCGGCCGCAAGCCGAGCGACTCGCCGTCGGCGTCGGGCGGCGGCGCCGAGACCCCGCCGCCGCCGCTCTCTCAGCCCACGCCGCCGCCCAGCGACGACAGCGGCGGCCACAAGGACCTGGTGGTCAAGATCAAGCCGTTGGCGGCCGAGCCGGAGCCGGGCCGCCTGCAGCCGCTCAAGCTGACGCTGTCGCGGCGCGGGCCGGCCTTTGCCAGCGCCGACACGCCGCCGCCGCCCACGCTCACGCCCGAAGTGGGCGCCGGCGAGCTGGCCGAGAGTTGCGACGTCAGGTAGCCCCGCGCCGCGCGCCCGCGCGCGCGCCAGCCAGCCAGCCTGCCCGGTACAAAGCGGCGGGCCGCCGGCCGGCCGCCGCCGCCACAGCGGTGATCGTGTGATACTCGGGAGGGGGACGGCGCGGGCGCGGCGCCGGGCCCGGGCGCCGCGCCCCGTCCCTGACGCGCACAGCCGGTGGCCGGCGTCTACGTTGTGATATGGGCCTCAGTGTGCGTTGAGTGTGTTGTTTTAGAATTTATCCGTGGCAGACTGTTCGACCGTGTGACGGGTGCGATGGTGCGTGCGGCCCCAATAAGTGCTGCGCCGCGGTCGCGCGCGACGCCGCATGCCGCGTGACATTCCTTTTTACGTTTGGGATGGTGCATTTGGTGTCGTGTGCTGGGTTGGTGCGGCCGGCGCGCGCCGGGCGCCGGTGACCGTCTGTTTCTGTTCGCTCCGCTAGTGTCCTGCTCCTGATCCTGAGCCGGCGGCCGGGGCGCGCTCCTGCCGTCGCTCCCCTCCCGCCGCCCGTCCCGGCCCCGGCCTGACCCTAGTCACCGTCTGCGCCACCGCCACCGCCGCCATCGCTGCCGCCGCCGCCGCCGCCACCGCCGCCACCGTCACCGTCACCGTCGCCGCCCGCGCCGACAGGTAAAGACGCCGCTGCGCCCGGCCGGGCCCGCGCGGGCCGATGGTTTCACGCGCGTGATTCGTCGCGGATCGGGCGCTGACGACGGGCAACGGGTATTGTTTTTATCTTGCGGGGCTGTTGTGGATGCGATCGCGGGCTGGTGCGGCATTGGACCAGGTGCCGCTCGTTGATCTTTTCGTGAGACATGCAGTTGAATCGCAGATCAGGCATTATGATGTGTAGCGCGTGGGTTTTGCAGTCCGTTGGTTCGGAGCGGTCGGCTGGTGCATGTTACCGTTTTAACGTCGGGCGCAGCGTTTTAGAGGCTCGTCGTGAGAAAACGTCGTCGGCGTGTTCGGGTGGCCCAAAAATCTGCAGCGCTGATACAAATTGTGCATAGAATAAGTATGGTTGGCATCTGGAAACATGCAATTCGCATTTGGAGGACGAGATGAGAATGGAGACAGCGGCTTTCAACATCGGCGTTTTTATCTGGCGTACATTGCAATGGAGCAAAGGTGTTCTCACCTGTGAGAGTCTTTTACGCGCTTTTCCGTAAGGCTGTTATAATTTGTTGTGTTCATGAAATCACGAAATTGCTAGTTTTTTATTGCTCCAAATTTAGCGACGACTTTAATTTCATAAAGGCATTGTTCAAGTGTTGATCGATTATCACTGCTCACTGAACGGGGCGCGCATTGCCTAGGGTTTAGCTAGCTGAACTGCATTCAATCGAAGCGCACGCCGCGGAGTGCGTGCCATGTCGGGTCGGGTCGCGCGACACGTCGACGGCCGTGACGGGCGGCGAGCGCCGAGTCTCGCTGCCGGCGGCCGCGCCGCGCTGCGAGCTGCCGTTCTCCCCGCCCCGCCCCACCCCGCCTGCGGCCGCGCGAGTCGCCTAGATGTAAGAGCTTTATCTCTGGCGCGGGCCGGGCGCCGCCGCCGCTGCCGCGGTCTGCGCCGGGTCCGACGGAACACGACTCCATGTGATCTCGGGCGGGGGCGCCGCGACCGGGCTGCTCGGCCCGGCCGGTCTCGCGCCGTCGGAGGGCGGCCGCCCCAGCGGCCCGAGTCCTGACCTGACCTAACCGGACCTGACCTGACCTGACCTGACCTGACCTGAGACGCGACCCATACAGGCCCGGGCCGCCGGCGTAGCCTAGTAATTTAATGTTAGGCGCCAATCATGCGGAGCGGTAGTTTTTTGTATTTGTGTCATATTTTTGTATTGTGTACATAACTTTTCTTTCGTATTTATTGTGAATCTATTGAACTGTTACCTGGCCATACTGACATGGTTAAACATTGTAAATATTGTAAGTGAACATTTGGCATGCTGTACATAGCATCGACTGTTACTTATGGCAATTTAATAAATATACCTCGTATTTCATCTGTATGTATTGCCGTGTATGCGCATCGAAATCAGTAGGCCATACTTCCCGCACCTTCTCGGATATGCGGATGTATGTTCAGCGGATTTACGTTGCGACGAGAATCCGCTGAACGGACAGTGCAGCCGGTTCAGCGGATTCTCGTCGCAACATGAATCCGCTGAACCGACCGCACTCTCGGGTGATTGCTCGGTCGGGCATGCGCCGCTCCAGGCAGTTAATACCGGAGCGAGCTAGGAGGACTCCTGGGCAACAGCAACACCGGAGATGGGCTGGGTGTCTTTTGTTCGTAACGAAAGGTCGGCACGGCACAGACCCACTCAGTTGATCAGGCCGGAGAAGGATTGGCGTGGTAAGCGCCACGACGAACCGACTGATCCTGGACGGGCGGGGAACCGGGCTCTAACCCGCTCGCCGACGGCTCGCCAGCCTTGGCTACAGCTTCAGTCAGTGGCACGTACCGATGCAAGCGCAACAGGCCCGGCAGCCAATCGCTGGTCGGTCTGTACGGGGCGGGTGTCGCCGGTGCCGCCGGGCCAGTGGCGGGGCCGTGCCAGTGCGGCCGGCGGTGGGTGGTGCGCGCGCGCAGGGGCCGCCGGCGGGATCAATACTGACAGGGGCCGGCGACGCCGGGGCTCGATGCCGATCCACGGCCGTCGCCGCTGCCGCCGCCGCCGCCGCCGCGCCATGCACTGACCGCCGGTCACCGCCGACCGCCGCCACTGCACCATGCAGAACCCTCCCAGGAAGGTGAGTGCTGCGCGTTTGGCAGCATTGTTAACCGGGGCCGAGACGTGCGCGGCTCGTGGGCGGGCTCCGTCCCAGTTGGGTGTTCCCACGTCCGCGCCCGTGCTCCCCAGCGGAGGGCGGCTCTGCCGGGCCCGTGCCCCGGTGGACGGTGTCTCTGCCGGGCCCGTGCCCCGGCGGACGGTGACTCTGCCGGGCCCGTGCCCCGGTGGACGATGTCTCTGCCGGGCCCGTGCCCCGGTGGATGGTGACTGGTGACTCTGCCGGGCCCGTGGCCCGGTGGACGGTGTCTCTGCCGGGCCCTTGCCCCGGTGGACGGTGGCTCTGCCGGGCCCGTCCCCCGGTGGACGGCGGCTCTGCCTGGCCCGTCCCCCGGTGGACGGTGACTCTGCCGGGCCCGTCCCCCGGCGGACGGTGACTCTGCCGGGCCCGTGCCCCGGTGGACGGTGACTCTGCCGGGCCCGTGCCCCGGTGGACGCGTCCCCCGGCGGACGGTGACTGCCGGGCCCGTGCCCCGGTGGACGGTGACTCTGCCGGGCCCGTGCCCCGGTGGACGGTGTCTCTGCCGGGCCCGTGCCCCGGTGGACGGTGTCTCTGCCGGGCCCGTGCCCCGGTGGACGGTGACTCTGCCGGGCCCGTGCCCCGGTGGACGGTGTCTACCGGGCCCGTCCCCCGGCGGACGCTGACTTTGCCGGACCCGTCCTCTGGCGAGCGGTGACTGCTGGCCCCGTCCCCTGGTAGACGACGGCACACTCGTGCCCGTGCATCATGTTATCCGAAGCGCGGCGCGGTCAGTTGTCGGTAAGTTCAGTGAGATCAGTCGTATGAATTGCAGGTGATGAGGCCCAAATTACCCCGTCGAAGTGGTCCAGACCGTGGCGAGTAAACACTAGTCTGTTTTGGTCGGACGTTGGTTACTTGCACTCGCTGTTCGTTTAATCAGCGGCTTAAGAGGAGCTTAGTTTACGTGGTATGTCTGGCGTTTTGGAGTTTGTTGATGCGTTGCGGAATATGTGCATGCTATGACACGGTAGGTCATGTTAGACCAGAAGAAATATGGCACACTGTCGCGCCACGAACCGATCGTGTGGTAGAACTTCAGCGCTTACCCTGTCCTTTGTGTTTCGCTTGTCCCTGCGCGGAGGCTTGGGAACGTTTCAGATAGTGCAAGAGCCACGTCCCGTTTTGTAGCAGGTATTTTTGTCATGCGTCGCCAGGGGGTAACGTTGAATTTCTTTAAGAAGTGGGAGGACCATCCTCGTCCCCTTGTTAACGCGCTATCTTGAGACCCCCACCCCATCAAGTTAACCACCCCGATTGTCTTTCCAATGGTAGGTATACTCAAGATTAGTTGGGAGCTTTTCAGACAGGGGACGAATTTGGGTCCCACGCACGGTTAGGTTCGAGGGTTAAGTTGAAAATTGTGCCATTATCAATGAGGAATATAAACCCAATCAAGTTCACCCACCTGCAGTGAAATCAGCGCCGTTTAATTCCGTGGCGGTATGCTTTATGGGCTTGATTTTGGAAGGGGCCTCGGCAAAGAGTCACGCATTTCTTATGTGACTGAATGCAAAATAAGCCAGGTAATAAGCAAGATCGGCGGGTGTGGATTTATCAAGCCGGCGTTAAATGGCTTCCCAAGCTTAATAACTGGTAGTGCGCCGAAGTTTGTTGGCGTGACTATCAATTTATGAGCTCATCAGGCCAGCTCGTCTAGTTAATGCGAGCGCAGTGACCTGGCCTGCTTACTGGCGCTCTAATATAGTAGGCGTTGCGATGAAAGTTGCCCATTGGAACACAACTTTCCTCGTCCATACGGTTGCTCGTCTTTTAACGCAAACGTCAATGCTCGTCTATTTTGGCATCGAATAAATAAGGCTCTGCGTACACTTCTCCCAGGGCCCGGCATCCGTTCTATCTCGTTCGTGGATGGTTGAAGGCCCTCCTGGGATTCCATGCATACTGAACTAAGTCCACCTTCAACATGCTTGATAATCATAAGCTGCGCGTGCTTTCCAGCCATATATGGCTCCACGGCCCGTGGAGGTGAGACTCTGTGAGCCATGTTGTGCGCGCGTTGTCCAGCGTTGCCACCCAAGTCTCTCCCATGCCCGTGCCCGTGATCAGAGTGCGTACATCCACCGTAAGTCAGCGCGTCCGCCGTCTCGCATGGCGCGCTCAATCCGTATCGCTTGCCAGTGCTGTGGCGCGGGGGATGGCGTGTTTCTAAGCGGGGCTGCATGAGGCGGGCTCGGGCGGGTGGGTGTGTTCTGCGGGCGGGGCGGGGCCCGGCCGGCGGCTCGGGGTCACCCCGGCACCGCCAGGTCACCCGGCAGCACTCCGTCCGCCGCAGCGCAGTCTCCGCCGTCTGCCGATGGCCGGAAGACTGAAGACGGTGCTGAAGCCCGGTCGATTCTTCACGGTTGTCATCGTTGACCAAAGGCCAAGCTGGCAGGTGCAAATAGCAATGCAGGTCGTGCGCAAGCTGCCGCACGCTTACGTGGAGCCGTCCGCTGTTTGGCGACCATGGCAGACGGCAGACACGGCCAGCACTTTAAAAGGTGGTCGCGTCGAGATGTGGGAGATGTGACGCGTTACGCGCCATTGCAGTGGAGGACTGCTGTCGTTGATGTCCCCGCGTATTACGCGCAAAATTTGGTTTTAGGAAAGTTTTCTGGTGGTATCGCACTTGCAATAGACGTTCGCAATGCAGCAGCACATTGAACAGATAGCATACACAGCCGACAAATAAAGGAGGCGTCGGATCAGCCGTGACTTCGGCGACATCTGGGATAAGATACAACGTCGCTTCGCCTGCTCCACGCTCTTCCCTCCGAGCTTGAGCAGCATTTCGGACGGCTTGCGCCGCCAGCAGTGCCTCCGGCTAGCTGGGTCCTGGCTGGGGCCAGACCGGCGCGTGCGGTGTGCGTGACGCATCGCCTGGCACGCGAGCCAGTGCGGCGACGGGTCGGCCCCTCAAACAGCGGCGGCAACTGCGATGTCCTCGCCGTGGAATCGCTTGGACAATTCTGCCGCATGAGAGCCCGCCGCACGCAACAGCTGCCACAGTCGTGGCGTGATTTTGTGCGGTCGCCGTGGTGCGTCGATGGACGGCCACCCGCCGGCCGACGGCGGCGGTCGGCGCGAGCCCGCTGTGTCCATCTCGCTCGCCGCCGCACCGAACGCCGCGCAGGTCGCCGGTCGTTCCACGCCCCGACGTGGTCCGGCGGCCAGCCAATCGGACCCGTGTCTGGCGGCTCGGGCGACGACCGGCTGTAAAGATAGCCGGCCGCGCAGGCCTCGCTGGAGGCAGCCGCGCTCGGCCGGGCCGGGCGAGTCGTCGCGGTGGCCGCCGCCGGCCCGCCGTCTGTCTGCCGTCGCTCGCCGCCTGTCGCCGCCCGGCCCACTGTCGCATGTCTGAACGGTCGTCCGCTGGTCTGCAACAGCGGCCGGTCTGGCCCCGCCGCGTGCCATCCCAGACGCCCGCCGCGCCGCGCCGAACGCCGTGCAGGAGGCCGTCGGCCGCCGTTCGCTGGCTGAGCGGCGCCAGCCGGGCGGCCGAGCTCGGGATGGCGGCCGGCCGCTCGGGGAACGGCCGGCTGTAAAGATAGCCGGCCGGGCTGGCCTCGTTGGAGGCCGCCGCGCCCGTCCGGGCTGGCCAGGTGCCGCGGCGGCGGCAATGGGTGTGGTTCCAGCCGACAGAGCAGCGGCAGACGGCCGGACCGCACCACGAGAGGTGCGCGGCTGGTGCTGGGCGCTATCGGACGAGCGACGATGGGGAGGCGGTATGGTCTGCGGACCAGCCGGTCCTCCGGCTTGGGGCGGGACCGTCGGCTGGTCGGTGCGGCCTCCCTGCTACTGGGAGGTTCGCGGACTCCCGTCGTACCGAGGCTCTGGGTGATGAGGCGGGGCCCACATGTTCACGGACTCCCGTCGTACCGAGGCTCTGGATGATGAGGCGGGGCCCACGTGTTCACGGCCTCCCGTCGTACCGAGGCTCTGGATGAGGAGGCGGGGCCCACGTGTTCACGGGCTCCCGTCGTGCCGAGGCTCCGGATAATGAGGCGAGGCCGCGTGTTGAAGTCAAAATGCAAGGGTTACCCATTAAATCACATTCAGTTTGTCATTGTCCACTCGGGAAGCAACTTAACTTTGGATTTACTTTGTTCTTCTGTGTCTGTTATTAACGAAGAATAAACAGACTCGGGATCCAATTATGATAGCTAGATTAAAACAGCTTTACGTGACTACAATTTTGTTTCAGTTAGCAGGCTTGTTCGTGCTCGGGTCTCCGCGCGACAAATAAGCGCGCATGGCTGGACCCGGGACCATTGTCTGCAGGCTCGGGATGGGCCGGTTTGGCGTCTAGTGCCGTCTTGGTGGCCACTGGCGTGGAAGGACGAATGTGAGGCCCCCTGTCGACGCGGCCCGGCCGCCACGTGCCGTACTAGGGTATTGTCTGGATGCTCCACCGCCCAACAACGACGCATCGTCTGTCCAAACTGCGGTCAACGTCGTCCACCTCGCCCGGCGTTCATCTCCCATGCCACCCGTTCAACCGGCGGCTGTTCGACTGGCATCTGCGGGACCTTCAGACCACGGTGTCCGCGCCAGGCACCAGCACCGCCGCTGTCACTTCTGGGAGCGTTTGTCGCCTCGTTGCCGACCGGGGACCGAAGTTTCTCGGCTTCCGCCCGCGCGGCGACGGCGGGCGATCGCCGGACGTTGCCGCCGCGGATCTGGGACGCCCTGACCCGCCGGAAAGGTCACGGGTAGCGGCCGGGACGGGGCGACAGAGACTGACAGCCGCCGGAGAGGTTGTCCAATCGATGAGTCCGTCGCCAAACGGCGCCGGTGCTTGGGCCGGCGACGGGGTGTGCTGGCGCACCCGACCCGCGCCATCCCGGCCGCTCCGCCGCCGCGGTTGGCGGCAGCAGCGCGCTGGCGGGGCTCCAGGGAGCGGCGGTGGACTCGGCGGGGATCGATAGGGCCGCCGCGTGACCTCGGCCCAGCCGGTCAGCTGGGGCGGCCGACCCCCGGTGCGGACACAGGCCAGGGGACAGAGGACAGATGGCACAGAACATACGGAGCAGAGACCAGACGGCAGAGACCAGACGGCACAGGACGCACAGGACGGAGAGCACAGGACGCATGGGGTAGAGAGCTCGCGACACACGGGGCAGAGAGTACAGGACACATGGGACGGAGAGTACAGGACACAAGGGGTAGAGAGCTCACGGGGCAGAGAGTACAGGACACATGGGACGGAGAGTACAGGACACAAGGGGTAGAGAGCTCACGGGGCAGAGAGTACAGGACACATGGGGCGGAGACTATAGGGCACATGGGGCAGAGAGCTCACGACACACGGGGCAGACAGCACAGGACGCACGGGGCAGAGAGTACAGGACACATGGGGCGGAGAGCGGACGGCAAAGGACGCACGGCAGAGAAGGAACGGCACAGGACACGCGGGGCAAAGATCACAGGACACGTGGGGCAATGAGCACAAAACGCATCTGGCGAAGATCACAGGACTCAGCGGGCAGAGAGCACAGGACGCGCGGGGCGGATAACGGACGGCGCAGGACACACGGGGCAGAGAACGGGCGGCGCAGGACACACGGGGCAAATACAGGACGGCGCAGAACACACGGGGCAGAGAACGGACGGCACATGGCACACGGGGCAAAGAAGGGATCATTTGTGAAGCGGGGCAGGGGTACGTTGTTTCATCCTTCCATTAGTCCACGTACATTCTCAGAACAAGCCCTTCATCATATTGGTATGAGTGCGCCATTTTCCTGAGTGTGTAGAGCCAACGACCTTTTTTTCGGTGCAATTTGCAGAGCATCCCATTACTTACCGGGATCGCTCCGTCGTCGATCCCCCGTAATGCTCCATTCGCCATTAACGTACCGAGCTGTCTCCAGCTGCACCAGCGACGAGCTGTGGCCGCCGTCTGTCAGCCGAATTCACTGCGACTGAGCTGTGGCCGTCGCTTCTGACTTCTGGGATATGGTCGCTGGTTGCTGCTGCCGTGCTGTGGCCGGTATGCCTGAGCCGTGGCCGAGCTCCGAGCTGTGGTTGCAGTCTCTGGGCTGCATCCAGCGCTGCTGCCGTGCTGTGGCCGGTATGCCTGAGCTGTGGCCGAGCTCCGAGCTGTGGCTGCGGTCTCTGGGCTGCATCCAGCTCTGCTGCCGTGCTGTGGCCGGCGTGGCTGAGCCGTAGCCGTGCCCCGAGTTGTGGCTGCAGTCTCTGGGCTGCATCCAGCGCTGCTGCCGTGCTGTGGCCGGTATGTCTGAGCCGTAGCCGTGCCCCGAGTTGTGGCTGCAGTCTCTGGACTGCATGCAGCGACCGCTGACGCTGAGCCGCGGCTGCCGTTTCTGACCTGGACCACCGTGGCTGAGTGGTGGCCGCCGTGCTGAAGGGTCGGCACGGCGTCGGAGCTGGAGCCTCTGTGCTCGACCTCCGGCGACCGTCCCTGAGCTCCAGCTGCTGCACTTGGGCTGGGACCACCGCACCTGAACTGAGACTGCGCTGTTTGTGCTGTGGGGGACTGTCCCGTGACCGCTGTTCCTTAGCAGTGACCGCTGACCCTGAGGTGTGACCGCTGTTCCTTGCTGTGACCGCTGTTCCTGGGGGTGTGACTGCTGTCCCTGAGGTGTGACCACCGTTCCTTGGCTGTAGCCGCTGTCCCTGAGGTGTGACCACTGTTTCTTGGCTGTGGCCGCTGTCCCTGAGCTGTGACCGCTGTGTCTTGGCTGTGACCGCTGGTCGTGAGTTGTGACCACTAATCCTGGGCAGTGACAGATGTTCGTGAGCTGTGACCACTGTTCCTTGCTGTGACCGCTGTGCCTTGGCTGTGACCTCGTTCGTGACTTGTGACCACAGTGCTTGAGATGTGGCGCCTGCTCCTGAGCTGTAACCGTTGTTCTGGGTCTATGATCGTTTTGTCTGAGCAGTAACTTCCGTGCCCGAGACAAGGTTGTTAAGAGTGGAGCCCAGCCCAGTGAGTTTGAAGGTGTTTGGGTTGCTAATTGAGATCAAAACCCGTATTGAGTTTTTGATTAATGCTGTAAGTGCGTTAATAACAGGACAGCACTCAGTCATTACAGATCGCCGAGGGCCCGTTGTGATTGACCAGCCATATCAACATTGACATGTTAGCACGGTTCACACCTGGGTTTTTGTTGTTTTTTCTCCTCAGTTTTTGCTTTCTTTTAGTCAGAGTGAATACTATTACTGATATTTGTTGGAATCGTTGGCAAGAGCCAAGGTAGATTTTGTGATACAAAATTGATTAATGCTAGTCATGGGCTAAAAAGTGTTTCCCAGCAGACGGCCATTTTTGGCTAGTCGTAGTTGATGAATGAACGACTCGAACATACCCTGAACAATAACTCGAGACTACATATTTCAAACTTGGCAAGCTGGGCATTTGCAAACTGCTGACGACGTTTACGTGCGCTGCACTCGGCATCGTCGCTCGGCCCGGGGGGGGGGGGGGGGGGCGCGGGGGGCGGGGCCGGGGCCGGGGCCTGCTCGCCCGCTGGTCTGTGCTGCGGGCCGGTCGTTCCACTGCACCGGTAGTTATGTAAAGGACACTTGGAAAAGCACCAATGCCATTCCATGCAGCGTCAAGTTGATATATATTGGTGCCATGAGGATATAGATTACGTAGCCGCAGTGATCGTATTCCGCTTTACGAGTACACCATGCAATAATCTGAATTCCTGGCATTCAGTGAAACTGGTACAAAATCACCGACGCGTTGGCAGAGTTTTACAACGGGGAGATACTCTGTTCACGTTTTGTAAGGCGTGTTCATTTGTCGATTTTGTGATCTCGTAAATTGCGAAAATGTTTTTATTTAGTGATGTACAGTGTGGCTGGCAAGAAGGCGCGCGCAGTGTAGATCACATTCACTTTGTGATCTACACTGTGCTCTTTGAACAGGTGGTCGCTTGGTATCTTTGAGGTGACTTGGAATAAGGTGATGCTGAACATCGCTAAAAATGTTGCAGGTTCGTGTGAAGGTAATCAAAAAATCGCAGTCAGTAGCTGCGCACGTTCTTTTGGTACCTAGGTGATTGTCGTGCCTTTGGTTAGCAATACAGCACCAAATTTGGCATGTTTTTTTTTGTAACTTAAACGTCACCACCGAAGAGACATAGCGGAAACCCCGAAACTTAACACAAATCCTGATTGCAGCAAAACACTAAGATGCGCAGAAAACTGCAAGTCTCAAAACTCAGTAGAAAATGGATTCTTGCAAGAACTAAGGCTTTGGGTTAATCGATCATAAACCCTCGGCGCTTGGCGGTCCTGAGGTTGCCAACCCCAGCCCTGGTAATGGCACGTCAGATCGTGAGGTGCCAAAGCGAAGTCGAGCCTACTGTGCCTGACGTAAGCGCTGTTGCAGACCACGCACGCGAAGTTCCTGAAGTCACTACACGCTGAGCAGCTGAGCCGGGTGCAGGCCAAGAACCAGCAGGAGTGTGACCTGCTCGAGGACATCAGGTGAGCGAGCGACCCGCCGCGCCGGCTCCGGGGGCTCGGGGGGGGGGGGGGGGGGCGGCAGAGCCCAGGCGCAGCGGCTACCGCGTCTCTCAGCCCGGCAGCGGGAGTGTGACCTGTTCGAGGACATCAGGTGAGCGAGAGACTCGCCGCGCCGGCTCCGGGGGTTCGGGGGACGGCCGAGCCCAGGCGCAGCGGCTACCGCATCTGTCAGCCCGGCTGCGGGAGGCGGGAGGGGTGCACTGGCGCGCCGCTGCTGTCCCGCTCCTGTCAGTGGAGAGGCGCCATCGTGAGCTGTGCGTCACATGTGTGGAACGTCTGGTTCCGCCGTCTTCACCGCTCTGGCGAGCTGCCTTCCCAGTCTCTGTGCGACAGCCGGTCCCAGTGACCGTGACAGTTGATACGTTGATCGCCGAAGGCCTCGCCACATATCGAAACTTAGCTTTGGCACGGCTGTCACGTCGCTCTGAGATAGAGCTGATCACCGGGTGTGTGGCAGCCGGCACCCGCGCAGCTGGGTCGGAATGATAGAGAGCGTCACATCCACAGGAACTTCACGAAACAGAGGGCCGCCGTCGAGAAGTCGTATGCTGAGGTGAGGAGTGCATGTGCTTCGGTGGCGTTTTTGGAGTGCTATTTATGGTGACGCCGCCCAGCCTTCCCACTGATCCCTGCGTTGTTCATCACACGCGTCATCACGCACGACGGAGACGGCCCGACGTTTGTGACCTTTGCTGCGACGCTCACGTAAACGCCGAATCAGCACCTCACCATCGCTGGGATGTGGAGAGGCCCCCACCCCGCCGACGCAGCGCGTCGCCGGAGCAGACCCGCTCTGCGGCAGAGTGTCTGCGGGTGGCAGTGGCACGGCCGTGCTGCGCCCGCTCGCCCACTGACTGGCCGGCGTCCGGCAGGCGCTACTCAAGATCTCCTCCGCCTACCTGCATAAGAAGATCCCGCAGCTGCCCGAGATCCCCGGCGAGGGCGCCGCACAATGGTCAGTGGGGGAGAGCGCCGCGCTCGACGTGGGACGGCGCTGTGTCGTGTACCGCGTGCGCTTGAAGCACCGTGAAGATCTCCATTAGACGGCAGCCGCGTGTCGTAACCGTGGTATCCGGTCTTTCTGGTGCGGAGGCCCGATATTGGGCTCGCGAAGACTTCCCACCTTGCTCTTGGATTAGATAGCATGAACGATAGCATATCTATTGACCTCTGCGAGTGTTAAGATGACTGTCATGAACACTTGAGTTGGACGACGTTTCAGCAGATACGAGCACGACTTAAATGTGCGTTACGCCAATGAAAATTTCAATTAAGTGCTCAGACGTACAAGGTGTAGTGAGAGTTGTTCACGTTCCCCTAGTGCACACACGAAAACTCCAGAATCGTGTGTGTTTTTCGTTGTCCGACCCTATAAGCTCTGTCGACGCACGCGTGCGTTCATCCCCTTCCCGAGGATGTTCTTGCGTTCATTTTACGATGTTCCTACGATGCGTGCGATTGATCTACCGTCTCGTTCGTCGCCCGTAAGTAGGCCGGAGTAAAGCCATCGATTTCCGATCGGTCTAGCGTTGTGCTCGCCCCAGTGATGTCCCGGTCCAGACGTCGCCACGTGGCCCAGGCGGGGTGTCCCTCGCCCGGGCAGAGGGTGGCCCCCAGATCCACCCGTCGCCCGGCCCTCCGCCGGGCCATCCCTTTATCGATGGCCCCCCCCCCCCCCCCCGCCCCGCTCGCCGTCGTCCCGTAGTCTCACCTGATATTGGCAGGTGTCTGCGCGCCGCCGACTGACGCTGCTGAAATGAAACAGCGTTCCGAGTCAACGCATTTAGTGCCGACAGCGCCGATTCGATTAGCCTGATGTGATCAGGGGCGGCGTGGCTCCACCGTCGCCCGGCGCCGGCTCAGATTTGCCAGATTTGGCCGCCGCGGCCCGAGCTGGCCGTGGTATTACATGTGCCGGGGTTGCGGCCGGTGCTGACCCGTCGGGGCGGGGCCGGTCGGGTGACGTCATCCCCCAGGCGGTGGCCGCCGCCCGGGTGGACCTGGGGTCCGCCCGGCGCTCCCCGCCTGCCGTGACGTCATCCCCAGGCAGCGGCTGCCGCCCGGCTCCGACCTGGGTGGACCCAATGTCGGCTCGGCGCTCCCCCGCCCGCCTTGGCGTCATCCCCCAGGCGGTGGCCGCCACCCGGCTCCGGCCTGGGTGGACCCCGGGTCAACCCGGCGCTCCCCCGCCTGCCGTGACGCCATCCCCAGGCAGCGGCTGCCGCCCGGCTCCGACCTGGGTGGACCCAATGTCGGCTCGGCGCTCCCCCGCCCGCCTTGGCGTCATCCCCCAGGCGGTGGCCGCCACCCGGCTCCGGTCTGCCCGGCGCTCCCCCGCCCGCCGTGGCCTCGCCTCCCCTCACAAATCGATGCCATCGCGTCCCTGCATCGGGTATTCATCGCTGAGATCGACCTGCGCGTCCGTTGGTCGGCCCCTGGCCGTTGGCGGTCCCTGGGCGGGCGTGCTTGCGTCACCCCTGACCCGAACCCGAACCCCGGCCCCAGGAACGTGTTTACCGTGTGGCGCACGCTGCTGGACGAGACGGAGAAGCTGGCCAAGGCGCGCATGGCCGCTGTCGAGGTGTTCCAGCAGCGCATCACCGACGAGGCCAAGACCGTGCGCACCAGCAAAGTGCAGACGTCCAAGAAGGTGAGGCGAGCCGCCGCCTGGCCAGTGGGTGTGGTGAGGTCCGGGTTCTTGTGGGCTAGTCGGAGTGTCCACGTGAGGATGGGAAGGACCTGTCGCCTGTCGATTGTGGTTTTGGGACTCATGTGAGTGAGTCATTGGGGCTTTACGGCGCACTCAAGCTGCTGAGGCTGTAAAGTGTCGCCCGCCTCTCACCCTGGCAGGGATGGCGGGCACCGCGGGAAATCGAAACCTGCGCCTCTGGCTTCCCAGACGCGGAGTGGTTAACGCGGACGCGTTAACCACCTCGACTCGTGTTGCGTGCGTTAATGTTTGTATAGCAGTAGCGGTCAATATTGTGTGCTGTGGTGACTCACTTTCCCTGCCAGCCAGTCTTTCAGCGTTGCGCTAAACTCTGATATGGCCGGGCGAAATGGCGGGATCCAAGTCTGCATGCAAAACAATACAATTTAGCGCCTGTGAGTGCGTTTGAAGCCGGATCTGGAGATGTCATCACGCGAGATTCCATTCACCGAAATGCACTAGAGCGCAGGCGATTGGAAGCAGTTGTAGATAGTGAAGAATCTGGGTAATAACCTTCAAGCTACGAGTCGCTGGATCGCATCGCTCACCGCACAGGTGGTTCAGATAAAGGAAATTGGATCATTACGAGTACAATTTGGTCTGTCGCCGTACCCACGGGGAAAAAGGGGCAGTTTGACGGTCCATAATACGGTCCATACGGTCCACGGTGGCATAATCGGCGCTCTCAATACGGGACGCGGCTGGGATCCACGTTCAATGTCACCATCACGCTTACTACAGTTTCTTGCGGTTATTTCGGTTGGCTTTCTCTCGATAATTTGTTCGCAGTTTAACATAAGTGTAATGCTAAGAACATTTACATGCGGAACATGTGATAGCCGTGAGCGGAATAAGATTTGCGATGGCATTTACATCGGAGTGGCCGCTTTGGAATTCAGCTAAAATGCGTTGCCATGGTAAGCACTAAACCAAGTGCATGTGACATTGATTGCGCCAACAATGCGACTGTGGCGAGTCCTGCAGAATTATGTTGACTGATAACGCTTCAAGGGTTCTGAAAGACTATCCTGGTGCGGAGCGCGCCGTCTGTTCGTAGCCGCTGGATCGTTGGTGATGTCTCCGCCCACGTCTGTCGGCCGCGCTCCCCGCCCTGGCGACTGCCGGTTATGGCGGCGCGGCTGGCGTTACTGGCTCGCCGGCGGGCACATCTGTGGCCGGGGCTCCCTCCGGTGTCTGCGCCGCCGCCTGCTGTTCCGCGTGTCTAGTGCTCCGCGCGCGGGCCCAGCGCCGCTGACCAGTCCCGCCGCCCCGGCCGCAGTGTCTGGAGCAGCTGCAGGCCATCCAGAAGGAGCTGCAGGGCTGCGTTCAGGAGCTGGACAACTGTAAGAAGCGCTACCTGGATGACGAGCACGTGGCGCACGACGTGCGGGACCGCGCCCAGCAGGCCGAGGAGAAGTGAGTGACGCGCGCCGGCGGCCACCGGCGACCTTGGGTCCTCCGCTGGCCGGCCTGAGGGGGGGTATCCCCGCGGGACAGGGTCGGCGCAGGAGCTTCGCCGACGTTTGTCGGAACTCATGATGTAGTTCGGCAAGGAGGACCTGATCTTTTACCTTTTCACCAGCGTGTCCACATTTCGTGTAAGCGGAATATGGAAGGCCACGTTTTTTTGGATGCAAGAAGGGCGGCATTTTGGAGCGGGTGTCAATGTTTTGCA